TTATTACTTATCATTATGGCTGTCATTATTATTATTTTCAGCACCTTTGTCACATTTTCCACACGTTCTCCCCCCCTTACTTCTCTACTCTCTTCTCCCCCCTACCATGTGAACTTTTGTCCCTCTCTTTTCCTATATGCCTGTTGGTAAATAGAGCCGATTGAAGGTGCCTGTGCCTCAAGAGTCCACAGCATTCTTACCACTGTGATCATGAATATTACTGTCGATTAGAGTACAGACCACATCAATTAAACCACTTTGTTAAACTTCCCAAAAGTGATAACTGGTAACATGTGACCTTTCCTTATTACATTCATACTTTTTCAAGCAAAAACGTAATGAGAATACTTATTAGTTTTTATGTTGATCTAACATCAAATTCTTGTAACTATTTTACAAGGAAATGTAAAGCAGCTAGAGAGAAGAATTAGCAATCAGATCTTGGAAGTTACGGGATTTCAGTCTCAGAAAACATAAACCACCAATGTTTCAAATATGCACTTTTAGCTAACAGTAATTTAGCAATTTCAGTTCTAATTGCACATTAGCAAGACAAACATAGTTTTTTGCCTTTAACATTAATGGTGCAGATCAGAAGATAAGCCATTACCCATTTAATCTGGTTCACTGTATTTGTTGTTGGACTTTTCTTTGATGTGTTCTCCATCTCTGTGAGTGCTTCTAAACTTTCCATTTCAACAGCTGAGATATTCTACATAGTGAATGTGGGATCATTCTTGATGCTTGCTGGTGGAAAAAATGTCTGTTTTATTGGTGGAAGTGGTGCACACTTCACCGGGAGTGGTCCATTGTAGGTGGTAATGGGCAGACTACTCCCCAGCAATTCCGCTGGAAAGAAAGAAGCAGTGGAAGGACTGTAAAAATTCCTCATATAGTTTGAATTGCAGTCCTATACACCCACAAGTTGTTTTGCAGACAACCAGTTGGCCAATATCTCAAGTCTTTTGACTTTTTAGCTGATTAGAAGTTGGTCAGGTTCTGCAGATGGAATCACTTAACCTTTTGAAGTTCGTCTGCTAAACAACCATTGAGACCCTAGCAAAATTCCCTGAGACATTTGTGAGAAGACTTAAGACATTGGAAAACTGGTCATAAATTAGGAAACCAAATTGTAGGTGAAACCACCAGTAAACCATAGTTCCAGGAATTATCAATGTCAGGGTGTCAAAGTAAAACTGCAGCTATTTCATAGTTATGGGTATGCAAGCTCTCTTATCCAAATTAAT